GGAAAAGCAGTAGAAGAAGCTCCTGACTCCTGGCTTCAGATTGGCCCAGCTCTAGCCATTGTGGCCACTTGGGAAGTGAACCAGTGAATGAAAAACCTCTCTCTCTCTCTCTCTCTCTCTCTGTAACTCTGCCTCTCAAATAAATAAATCTTTCTATTGCTGTGGAACCTGCGATAAAACAGTCACAGTGAGTTTACTTACACCCCACACACACAGCACAGACCCCCTTGCTGTCATTTGCTTGTGTGTCATCACCATCCAAAGGTAAAAGTACGTGTTCTGAAAAGAAATTAAGGGGCGGGTGCTTGGTGCAGTGGTCAAAGATGCCACCTGGGACACCTGGCATCCCATAGTAGAATGCCTGGGCGTGGGTCCCAGCTCCGCTTCCAATTTCAGCTTTCTGCTAGTGTACACGATGGGAAGCACTGTGTGTTTGGTTCACTGCAACCCACATGGGAGACCCAGATGGAGTTCCAGGCTCCTGGCTTCAGCCTGGCCCAGCCCCAGCTGTTGTGGTCAACTGGGGAGTGAACCAGAGGATGGAAGAGATCCCTCTCTGTCTTTCAAGTAAATAAAAATAGAAGGAAAAAAAGAAGAAGAAGAAAGAAAGAAATTGACAACAGTGCCCTGGTCACTGCCTAGGGGCTGCAGAACTCCGGGACACCCAAGGCCCCCTCAGCGCATAGGGCCCTGGGGCGCCCTTGGCCTGGCTTTTCCCTGGCCCAGCTGTAGTCTCCTTGGACCCAGGTTTCCCAAATGTAAAATGAAGATGCTGGACCTAGGGATCCCTTAGGGTCCTCTCAGCTCTGTGAGCCTGGCCTGGTGGAAACTGCTGCTTGCAGATGCTGGGGGAAGGGAGGCACGCACGGCACCTGCGGGTTTCTCCCGAGGCAGCTCCATGGATGACACAGGGAGGCACTGGGTGTGTTGCTGTGGCCAGCCCACCTCTCTGAATGCACTGCTTGTCTCCCAAGGGAAAGGAACTGGGTCACCCCTTCCACACTGCGCCAGGAGCTATTGGGTATCAATGTCGTGGGCAAGGTGGGGTCTAAATCCCTATTCCAAGTCCTTGCCTTTTACCTGGAGAAGCATACTAAGTAGAGGCACAAATACAACGCACAAAGTGATAAGGTTTATTGAAAGGGTAAGGAAAACATACACATACTTGGGCACTGCTCAGGAACAGAGTGGGTCAGGAGGGGAGGGAGGTACAGAACGGTGCCTCAGCTCCTTATCTCATGCTCCTCTACAGAGACAGACAATGAGCGAGCGAGCGAGCTCCCCCTTTCTAGACTCTTAGGAGGTTAGACAGTGTACTGGTCAGGGCTTGCATCCCATAGGAGTGCAGGGTCGTGAACTGGCTGCTCCACTTCTGATCCAGCTCTCTGCTGAGGCCTGGGAAAAGCAGCCAAAGATGGCTCAGGTGCTTGGGCCCCTGTACCCACACGGGAGACCTGGAAGAAGCTCCTGGCTCCTGGCTAAGCCCTGGCTCTTACAGCCATCTGGGGAGTGAACTAATGGATAGAAGATCTCTCTCTCTCTCTTGCTCGGTAGCTGATTTTTATAAAAATAGTAAGACGACGATGACAACAAAGAAGAAAGGGGAGTGGTTACATGGTACTGTCTCCAGGTTCCAGATAAAGGGAGATATATCTTGGGAAAGGGGTTATTTGACTGACAGGTAGGCAGATAGGATCACACAGGGCAGGAGAGGTATAGCCCTGATCCATCAACCTGTCTTACCCCATATCATCAAGACAGTGCTATGTGGCTAAATTAAGCTGCCACCCTCAATGCCCCAATATAAGCTCTTGGTCAAATCCAGGCTGCTCTACGTCCTATCAAGCTCCCTAATACCGTCTGGGAAACTAGTGAAAGATGGCCACAGTGCTTGGGCCCCTGCCACCCATGAGGGAGACCCAGATGGAGTGCCAGGCTCCTGACCCAGCCCTGCCATTGTGGTCATTTAGGGAGCAAACCAGTGGATGCACTTCTCTCTCTCTTTCTCTGTCTCTCCCTCTGTGTGTAACTCTGCCTTTCAAATAAATAAATAAATCTTTAAAAAAGAAAGAAAAAGTACCATCCACTCAGAATCAAGGCCAAACTGCCTCCTTGTGCACTCATTAAATCAGGTAACACAACCTCCCCGACATCCTCTACCTGAACTCCCCACTGCCTTTTCCATCCCGCGTGCAGGCAGGCGCCTACAAACCAGGGAGGCTCTCCCGAGCCCCGGTGGCTCCACAGCCACTGGTTCCACTCCCCCAGCACAGCCGTCTTGGGACAGCAGCATCTAAGCGACAGCATGAAAAATGCAGTGTCTTTGCCCTTTGTGCTTTATAAAACCGGTGACAAAGAAAAAAGGCTGAAGTCCTGATGCTACCGACACCTGTGATTGTCCAACGCCAGGCAGGCGTTACGGGGTCCTCCACCACAGCGCGGGCTTTAGAAACGTGGATAAACGCTCCACGCAGATCCCACCACCCAGACTGCTGTGGCTTCTGTAAGACCATGGCGGCCCCCTGGGCTCGCTCGCTCTGCCCCTGCGAAAACTCAGCCTCAGTTCACCTCTCCGCAAAGCGTCAAGTGAGGCTTTCAAAACTGCTTTAGGACCCAGCCCAGGAGGCCCCCGGCCCGGGGCGGGGCGGGGGTCTTCTCCATGCAAAAGCAAACATCCTTAAAACAGGGGTCACAAAACCGTCTCCCCCGCCCCAGCTTCACGGGCTGCGGACACAAAGCGGGACTGGGCCCCTCACTCAGTCCCTGGTTGGCGACCCTAGCAATGGGTGGAGGGGG